ATCCCATCCTTAGGCTGCTCTGAGCCTCCCCTGAGCAGCTGAACGTGGTGGAGGCAAACACACTCCCACGCTGCTGGACATTCTCTGCATCGATGGTCACAGACCTCAAGGAGGTTTCGGTTCTCTCATCACCCCTCCTGTTCTTTCTCAGATCCCTAGCCTCACTCCCGCCCATCCTCACTCTCAGCTGCTGACTCCTACTTAACTGGGGAAACAGAAGCCATCTAAAGAGTCTCTCCTCAGCACCAGCCCTGTCCGGCCTACAGGATCTCTAGCCGTCGTCGGCCTGCGGTGCCGAGGCCCCAACTGGCCCGTGTTCCTGAATTAGGATAACCCCACCCCTCTCACAAGGGCCCTTTTACTTCTCTTGTTATTTCACATCTATCTCATTTCATCAAAATGTCCTTTTCTCTCAGGTCGGTCTCATGCACATACAAATGTGCTACAGCCCCGTTCTTGAACAAGCATGTTTAAGAAAAATCAAACTTTCCCCGGACACTGTACCCCCATCCTGTCTAAGCTTTAAGGAGGCAGTAAAGGCAAATAAGGCAAAAGAAAAAGAAAAACAAATTCCAGGACAAACTCAGTGTTTGCCTCTTGCTCTGTTCTCTATAAAGCAGCCCTCGGAAGGGCGCGCGCATCCCCATTAAATTCCTGCTTCCATGGCCCTCGCTTTCTCTTAAATCCATTCCATGCACATCCCTCCGCCCTTTGAAGCCCTTCGTGTCAAGGTGACCATGACCTCTGTCTTCCCAAAGGCAGTGATTCCTCCTCAATCTCTGTCTCACCTAGTCTGTCAGCAGTACTTGATGTAGTTGGTCACTCCCTACTTCTCGAAACACTTTTCCACTTGGTTGCTGGGACGCCACATACTGGTTTTCCTTCTGGCTCCCTCCCCGCCCCTGTGCGGCACTTCCCTCTCTTCCTTACCTCTGAGCATCAGCCATGCCGCCTGTCACCCCCTGGGCGGACTTGCCCAGTTCCCTTGCTTGAATATTATCTATGCAGTGATAATGATGCTCGAATGTACCCCTCCTAGCCACTTCACCCCCTCAACCCCACACTCGTTTACCCAAATGTCTCATCTCTCCTGGTGTATTTTTAAAACATCTGAAACTTAACAGTCCCAAATTTCAGACTTTCCCTCTCATACCAGCTCCTCCCTCATCTGTCCCATCTCACTAAACTGCCTCACTCGGTTCCTCTGGCTCAGACTGTGGAGTCATCCCTGTCTCCCTTTGCTCATCCCCCAGCACGGCCCTCACCCTCCCTGCACCCAGCATGGCCCTCATCCCCAAAAGAGGTACCGGCTCCCAGCCCCTTGCCCCCGCCCCTCCGCCTCCCTCCTGGCTCAGGCTCCAGCCCCCATCTAGCTCTGGAACTTCACTTAGCTTCCTGCTTTCTCGCCATGTCAGGCCATTTCCCAGCACCAGCCAGAAGGATCTTTCTAAAAACTCAGCTGAGTCTTTCCTCTGCTCCTGAGCTCCCAAAACCTCCCCCAAAGGCCTCCCACTCACCCAGCTGCCCCTGCAGGTTCCTGCCCTGAGCCCAGCCCTCGCTGCTCGGCCAACCGCCTCGCTCCTGCCACTCCTGGTACAAAGCAGGCGTGTCCTCCTCAGGCCTCGGCTTCAGTGTTCCCTCTGCCTAGAGCTCATCCCCACAAGGACACATAGTGTGTCCCATCTGTTCACTCAGGTCACCCTCAGAGGCTTTCCCCGACCAGGCTCTAAGCCACCTGGTGTGTTGTGCTGGGGAAGCCTTCGCCCCGTCTGCATCTCCAGTAGACACACTGCCTGCGGTCGGGCACCTGTCTCGTTCAGAGCTGAGTCCCCCAGTCCTTGAAGGGCACTTAATACATGGTGAGCACTCATCGCCATAAATATCTGCTGACTGAATGAATTTTATTTTTCGACCATTTCCTCTCCCGTTTCCTTGCTTTGGTCTTTCTGAAACTCCTGTTACTCAGAGTTTTCGATTCTCTGGGTTGATTCTTTTTCTTTTCAGTTTCCATCCTTGCTTCCCTACCCCTGCCACTTATGGGAAATTTCCTCAGCTTCCCTTCCAGTGCTTCAGCATTTTTTATCTTGTTTTTTAAATGACCATAATATACTTATTCATTAAATTCCATTGTAATAAAATATAAAATTAATGAATCACGTGACTGAATCTTCCTAAAGGAGAATACTCCTATAACTTGTATGTGTGCTGTTGTTAAGAATCGTATTTATTCATTAACTGTTAAACAGTGAGCCTCTACCATGTACGAAGTACTAGGGATACAAGCTGTGAGCAAAGTGACATGTTCTCTGCCCTCTTCACCCTCCACACTCCCCGTCTGATGAGATGCAGGCAGTGGTCAAAGACTTACACAAGTAAGTACACAACCATAGGTCTGGTAGATGCTACAAGGGCCCATGCTCCCAAGAGGACGTGGAATAGTGGCTTTGTCTTGGAGAGTCAGGAGAGGAGAGCTTCCGCCTTCAAAATTCAGAAAACACGGGCAAATTCTCAGCCCTACAGCAGTTTTCCCAAGGAAAATTATGTTCTTATAAGCGTTATAATGAGATCTCTTGCAGTTTCTGGGTAGAGCTGTGATTTTTCCAACAGCCAAAAGAAAAGGATTAAAAATAAAAGAGTTACGATATGCCCTATGGTCCTAGAACACAACCATCCCTCTCACTTCTTCCCATTCACTCTCGCTTCCTTCATGTCACCCTCCCGCCCCTCAGTTGCCCTTGACTCCATCCGCCATAAGGGTCTGGAAAAGCCTGCATTTCCCTGAGCTCACTCAGCGCTGCCTCTCCAGGGGAAATGCTTTCCTTTCACTACTATCCCAGGTTTCTCCCTTGATCCTCTCCATCTTGATTCCAGAAACCATCTTTCTTTTGGCAACTGTAACTCCTTCGTTTGCCCTTGATTACACTAATTCCATTTCCCAGCTCTCTATCCCGTTCAGGTGAGAATCTTCCTACTTGGTTATTCATGTTTGTCCCAACAAGTCAAGGCGAACTACTTCCACTTTCTCATCCGCGCTGTTTCCTTTATAGTTTCAAAGATGTCTCAAGAGTTCAGTATCTCAGGCTGTTTCAAGTCACCATATTCCTTTGCATGGCCGGTGTTCGGGATCCTAGGCACGCATGTGAATAGCTTGGTTTGGTCTGGGAGGAGTTCTGTTCTGCGTTTTTCCGAGTTAGCAAGTCTTCCACGCGGTGCTCCCTTGAGTAACTCGGCGCTGTAGTGCAGAGCTGCGAGTCGTTGCGCTGCCACCTCCAGTTGGAGCTGGCTTCGTTATTTCACCCCTCAGATTCTCCTCAGGTCTGAATGGGATCACACCTATGCAGACGTGAGGGAGAGATTTAAATTACATATATGTGTATGTATGTGCGTATTACCTGCTCAATGAGAATCAGTCTATATTTATTGTCCCAGTGTTTGGTTCTGAACCATTTCTGTTCTCTCTCTCTCTCTTGCCTGTATAGCTAGCTAGCTCCTCCCTTACCACTTCCAGAACATTCCTAATATGCCTCTCTACCTTGTCCACAGTTTGGTCAGAATGTTTGTGTGTATTATAATCACTTCCAGTCTCTGGTTTTTATGAAAATGATTTTTCTCAGATCCAAACTCTAAAACTTGGGGATGCATCAAAGTACTATCGTTGGGAAATTTTGCCTTTCTAGTCAAGAGACTTTATAAGATTTGGAGTCTCATCTTTCTGGCAGTTCCTTTCTGTTCTTTGGAGTTCAATACATAACTTTGTTTAGGTTTGATTATTCTTTTGTATATTCTCACAATTTTTGTAGATTATTTGCATTTGTGTTTATCTTTTCTTATTCTTTCTCATTTTTCTATTTGAAAGGAATTCCAGAATAAAATTTGGGGCTGCTATCTTAATGAGATTTATCCATCTGAAAGGAGTTTTAATAGAAAGAATAAAAGGCTGTGTAGAATGGCCTTTGTATTTGTATAAGGTTCGCCCATACCTGATTGTAGCAGTCGAATCATACAGAGTCTATTTTAGAGTGCTTTTAAAATTTGTTTTCGATTTGGGTTTTTAAAATACTGAAATGATCCAAACATACATTCAGAAAATAATTCTTTCTTATGCACCCCATGCAGATTTCAAAACTCTTATTTTTTAAAAGTGATAAACATTAATGGCAAAAAAATAAGAATTCAACAGGACAGAAACTTAGAAGAGGAAAAGACATTCTTAAACAATTCCTGCCTCCCCAGACTGTGAAATGTTTTGTCCTTATTTAAACATTATTACACGTTACAATTGATCAGAAACTTAAAAACTAGAAAGAAGCAAAAGAAAGAAATGAAAATGCCCCAGAATGTAATTCTGAAGTAAACTGCTATCAGCATGTTAGTATAGTATAGAACTTTTCCATCTTTTCAGTGCTCTGCGCATGGATTTTTTGTTTTGTTCATGTGTGTAAGTACACATACTTTTTAAATAAATGTCAGATCAGACTGTTCTTTTCTGCACTTTCGTCAGTTATTACATCATTAACATCATCGCCTGAGGTTTCAATCTCTGCAAAGTAGCAGAGAAAACCTTAGCTGAGGGCCAAGAACGCCGACGAGTGAACTGCTGAAAATACTGTACTTTTAAGGCGATACCAATTCTAGTCAACCACAGTTCATTTTCAGCTTCAGAGTTGTTGGCATTTTGGCCAGAAAAGCCATTTCCAATACCACCAAAAGCAAGCTTTGATTTCTTTATGCTTATTTTCCCAGTCTGTACAAATCGCATTCCATCACAGCCAGGTATTCTTACCATTTTGTCCTAGAGCATAGTGAGTGGTTCAGTCCTTTTGATAAGATCTAAAACCAGAAATTTTAACATACATAAAGTGTTTTTTTTTTTTGTTGTCGTTGCTGTTATTCCTAGGGAGTGGCTTTATTTATTGTGCCATGAAATGTTGAATCCATATTATGGACTCTTCCAGTATTCTACGGACAATATTTACATGTTACAAATCAACCCAGATTCTTCAATCAACCCTGTAAGTATTCAAATTGGAGAATTTTTTTGAATGGATTTTCAGTTTCAGTCTCAATTTTTGGTTTATTACCATAGCCTTACTCAAGGTCTGTGGTAAATAAAACAGTGAAAGGTAGAGTGAGAACTAGGTAAAGATAGATGGTTTCGATCCTGGGTTTCTGGTGACTGGGATCATCGGGTATGTTTTCAAGGAGAACAAGAGAGACGTTCAGCTGCTCGTACACTCAGAGCACTTTGTTGCCATTTGAGGGGACTCTGGTATGATGTCTGCATTCGTTGACAGTATCATTCTGAGAAGTGGGTTACGAAGGCTATGCTCCTCCTAATCAAATTGGAATAGTTCCATAATTGGCCTTTCTGGCCACCAATGCGGCCACTCTTAGCTGCTTGTCCTGCAGTCAGCACTACCACACACACGGCCCGCAGCGACATCGTGGACCAGCTCTACTCTGTAAGCATTCAAGTGTGACCGAACCTTTTGCAAACAGGGAAACAAAGTTTTGACTAAGTCTCAAAGTGGAAATGTGAGGTTCCCTTTTAGTTTAAAGCCAGAACAGCGCTGGTTTTAGAATGGTTGGTTCTGGTACTTGGACTGCTCATACTTGTTTTCTTCTGTGTTCCTTCTTTGTTCTCCTTTAGACTTTTTCTCTTCCTCTTTTTTGTGGGACTGGGGGAGGAGTGGCAGAGGAAGAAGGGGAATTGCCCTTTGCTCTTTATTTATTTTTAGAGCAATGGGAAAGAGGAGCGCAGCTGGCTTCCTGGGCGGGCGACCTGTGCAGAGCAAGGGCCCGGCACTCCCAAGGGCCCATACTTGGTTTGACCCTCTGCTGTTGAAATTCTTGATAACTGTTGAATAAGGGGTTCTGCTTTTTCATTTTGCACTGGGTCCCGCAAATTCTGTAGCAATCCTGGGGAAAAGATTTGTTTGAACCAAGAGCAAATAAAATGTTCAGATGATCTATACAAAAGATGTGTTCGAAATTTTGACTAAGCAGCTTTCTTTCATTCAGTCCCGAGCACAACCTGTGAGGAACCGATTCAGTGTTTGGTTGTCTCTGGGACACTTCTCCCAAGCTGGAGAAAATCACAAGCTAGCCAGCCACCTTGGCCTGTCCTCTCTCTAACAAATTCCTGTTCTCTGGTGCCCCCTACAGGACCATTTGTCTTATTTCCATTTTGTGGGTCGAATCATGGGTCTGGCTGTCTTCCACGGACACTACATAAATGGGGGTTTCACAGTTCCCTTCTATAAGCAGCTATTGGGGAAACCCATCCAGCTCTCTGATTTGGAATCGGTGGACCCAGAACTACATAAAAGCTTGGTGTGGATTCTGTAAGTATTGACTCACTGTTGAGTTAATTGAAAGTTCATGCATGGCCACCTTTCTTGGTGCAGGCCGAATACATTTGTTCCGTGTGTGTATATTCTGGAGGTGGGTGTGAAATTGGAGGAGAGAAATAAACTAATGTTTATGACCAGAAATATAAAAGTAGATTTAACTCGATCTATTTTCCTCTTGATGTTTGGCCAGTTTCTCTTCAGACTAGTTTCTTTTATTATTTCCTTGAATGATTAATAGATGATCAAAATGTTAATCCCCAGGCTTGTTGGTCGTTTAACTCATTGTTGACACTAAGGTGTTGCCAGTTAATTTCTAAAGGGAAAATATCAAAACGAAAATTAGTCACCTTGTTTTAGAATTATCCTAAATACTCTCTTAAAAGCAACAGACTCAGTTACCTAGTAGGCCATAGGTGTCGTGGGTCCTTGTTTCACAGGAGTGACAGGCAGATGCAGGCTCTGGCAAAGGGAGGACAAGCTGATGAGCAAGTATCTCAAGCGTACCTTGCATTCTGGTCAGCCTTATTTCACGTATCCCAACCTGAAATGGGTGACCTGTGGCGGTCGGGGCCTTCATCCTGTAGGAGATCTTTTACTTTTTCAAGAAATATGGCAGATGAAGGAGCCAGTTTTAACTTTCAAGTGCTGCTTTGTTTGAACCAACACACTTGAAAAGGCTGCCTTCAAAAGGGAGACGGTATTTTCTTGATGTGGCTTCCTGCGGGTTGGTTACCCTTTGACTCAGTTACCTCTTCATGATTCCCTTCTTTCTGCTCATAGACTCAGTTTACGAAGCAACTGGGTGTCTCATAAAGTCAGAATGGTAGAGGTACTGCCACCCTCTTATGAATGATGGGCTCCTTCAGGCACCTGCCCTTCTGTGAGCTATGCCCACCTGAGGCTTTCTTCGCCTCTCTGGGTCTGGCAGTCAGTAAACACTCACACCCTTTTCCTACTAGAGTGTTCCATTTAATGTTCTGTTCATTGCCGCGTGGTGGCAAGGTGTAACTGACATCCATCTTCTGTCCTGACTTCACCAGAGAGAATGATATCACCCCTGTGCTGGACCACACCTTCTGTGTGGAACACAACGCTTTTGGGAGGATTCTTCAGCATGAACTGAAACCCAATGGCAGAAATGTTCCTGTCACAGAGGAGAACAAAAAAGAATATGTCCGGTAATGCTCTGGGGAACCTTGGTGGTGGCTAGGGACACCCAGGTGCCCAGGACTGTCCTGGGCCCCGCTGGCTTTGTATTTTGACTCCTTTGCTGCGTGAGATCTACTTGTCTCCACCAGCACTTGTGACCAGAATCACATTATGGAAGAGACTTCCAGAAACCATCGGGTTCAACAGTGAGGGCTCTGTGGACCAGCCCTGATGTGACCGGGGCTGAACTGATGAAGGGAGACTAATGACCCAGGAGCCCAAGTGGGTGGAGGGTGACTTTGAAGTGACCAGCCAGTTCTGGGTCTGAAGGTTCCAGAGCATAGGAAAGAGAAGGAAGCCTAGATGTTTCCTTGAGATCAGTCTCTCCAGGAAGTCAACTCCATTTTAGTCTGTTTTCCCACCCCCTAAGGCAAATAAATGACTGGTCATGTAGTGTGGAAATTTAGAAACTTGGGCACCTTTGTGTGCTCAGGCCGTCAGACTGGGGTCTAGTTCTCACAGTGTCCTATATTTTATTTTCAAATACACTTTTAAGTTGTGGCAGTTGTTGGAACAAGTTAGGTTAAACCCTACTGCTATTTCTGGCAGTGAATCAGAATATATAAGGGCATGTGCTGACTTATTTTAAACTGAGGCTACATACTACCAACTGGTGGGTTTTCTTCCCTCCCCCAGGAGGCCGGGCGGGCAGGAAGTTGGACTCAGCAGGTGTCAGAACTTGCTAATGGAGAAAAAGTGTCTTCCTGAACCGTTGGTATTGCTTCCAACTTGTGAATTTTTCCTGCAGGTTATATGTAAATTGGAGATTTATGAGAGGAATCGAAGCTCAATTCTTAGCTCTTCAGAAAGGGTTTAACGAACTCATTCCTCAACACTTATTGAAGCCTTTTGACCAGAAGGAACTAGAGGTACGTGCTCAACCTGCTGAGTCAGGCTGTCAGTAAAGGGCTCGAATGTGAGCTGTATGTTCATTTACCCCCTGGCTGCGGAGTGAGGCTCGCGTTGGTTCCCAGCAGGCTCGGGGTTTGTCAGGGCCCCCAGGAGAACAGGGTCAGCTGGGGCTGGAAGGGGCCCGAGGATGTTTGAGCCCGGTTACGACAAGACCAGGCTTCTACTTGGCAGCAGTGAATCTGGATCATTCTAGGGCCCTTGTTCAGGGTGTTTTGTGGCTTATTATACTTTTCAGGATCTCCAGCAGTGGAGATTGCTAACCCTCTCCTGTGTACTCACCTCAGATCGAGGAAATTATCTCGAGTGTATAGCCATCTTCTCCCACAACATCAACTTTGTTTTCACTCTGCTATTATTAGACTCTGAACAAAGGGCTACTGTCTCCTCTAATCACACTTCATGTACGTGAACACAGTGGTGCATTCATCTCTTATCCATCTCTGTTTGGTGCCAAATAGCTCAAGCCTTTAAAATTGTTCCGTTTTTTTTTTGCCACCTTGGAGATGCTGAGAGCTTGTGAGCCCAGAGGGGGTCCCCTTGGGTGGGGCAGTAGCTCTCTGGGTGGTGGGGGGGACCTTTGTAAGTAAGTTGCAGAAACCCACATGTAACTCTTGCTTCATTCCCTTCTTGTCCGACTTTGAATTCCACCTGTCATCATCCTGCGAGGTCACGGTGATGGGGCCCCATTTTACACTAAGCTCTGTGTATCGTGCCGGTGGTTCTCTCACACTCCTCCCCAGCGCAGTGCACAGACACAGACCTGGTTGTGAGACAGTGCCCGTAGTCCTAGGAGTTGGAAAGCAGCCTGAAGTGGCAGAAAGACGGAGGCGTCGTGCCTCAGGCATATTGCGTGTTCCTCTTTCTTGGCTAAATATGCCTAGTTTATTTGGACATAGCTGCCTCTTTGCTCTGGGAACCCAGTGTTGAACTCCTTTCATGGACTGTGACCCTGGGAAGCATCAGGACACTGGTGTGTACGTTCAAGAAGTAACCTGCCTCTGCACATATTCACAGCTGATAATAGGCGGCCTGGATAAAATAGACTTGAATGACTGGAAGGCCAACACGCGGCTGAAGCACTGTGTGGCTGACAGCAACGTTGTCAGGTGGTTCTGGCAAGCGGTGGAGACCTTCGACGAGGAGAGGAGGGCCAGGCTCCTGCAGTTCGTGACAGGATCGACCCGAGTCCCACTCCAGGGCTTCAAGGCCTTGCAAGGTGACTGAAGTGGAGGCGGGGCTGCTGGCACTGGGCGCCTCCTCTACTAGGCCATGGCAGGAAGAACTAGGATGTGGTGGGCTTGTCTTCCTAAAACGGCCACTAGAAAACAATACAACATATGTGCTTTCGTAACAAATGCCTGCCACTGTGGCGGTGCTCACCGGGCAGAGGGGGCACTCACTCCCAGTGGCCGTAGAGACCCTCTCCCCCCATAAAAGGTTACGGTCTCTCTCGGTGGCCATTATCTCTGCCAGCTCTTGCTAGCCTCTGCCCAAGTTGAAAGAAAATACCTGTAAATACATAGGAGAGGACATCAGCCAAATGTAGCCCAACTTCCTCTCAAACCCACCTTTCCCAGTGTCTCGCAGGCCAGTGAATCAGCAGATGGGCGTCACCTGGCTTGGCCTTTGGCCCAAGTCTCCACAGCAGCAGTGGTGGGTACTAGCCAGCCTGGTGCCCACTCGGGGCTGAGTTTGGAGGGACATGAACAAGGAAGGGCCCAGTTGTGCCCAATGCATCCCCTTCCCCTACAGAATTGATTGGCGAAGGGAGAGTACAAATAATAGACTTTGGGAAAGAAATTGAAGTTTTTAAAGCATATTGTGGATGCACTTGGAGGTACAGGAGAGCGGGGCCTGGCCTAAATATCAAGAGGCCAAACCGTTGCTACCATGCGGGCCACTAGCTCCAGGGGTCCTCCCAGGCCTTCAGCTTCCTCATCTACACAAGTGGACTGCCTGACAGGCTCCACTGTCCAGTTAGGTACCCATGCACTCTCTCTGCCCCACAGGGACCTCTTTGAGAAAAGTTACTTCCATTCCCTTGGGCTTCTGTTTGTGTCTTTTTCTTTTTCCCCTCATACCTCTACTTGGAGAGGCTTCACGACTCCATTTCCTGGTTTCTTTTACTACCACTGTCCTCTGCCAACAGTGAGCTTGCTTACTAAACATTTCTGTTAAAAAATAAACCCCTGGTGATTTAAGGGCTCTGTCCTTCAGATACCCCCACTGGGATAGGCTCATGGTCAGGGTGGACAGGAAAGTTCTCACGGGTCTTTGCTCCATGCCTGTGATTTTCTAAATGTGATGTCGGTCACTTGATGGCCAGGCAGAAACTCATGTTGCCACGGGAACCCTGAGGTCCCCTGGCAGGACAGCCAGCCTGGGCATTGGCTGCAGGTGTGGCTGGCATTGGGGCCCAGGCTCAGCCTCTGAAGTGCATTAACTAGACTGTTGTCTTGTAAGGCTCTACAGGCGCGGCAGGACCCCGGCTGTTCACCATCCACCTGATCGACGCAAACACAGACAACCTCCCGAAGGCCCACACCTGGTAAGGGCAAGCGCTGTGGTGTCGCCACTCCCGGGAGCCTCTCTGCAATGTGCGCGCGTTCACGTGCCTTTCTAAGCTATTTCTGATTTGTAGCACTCTGCATTGTATTTATGCAGAGTCTCAGGTAACAATTGGCCGTGGCACCAGTGTCATATTGGACAAGCACTTGGCAGCGTGTCACACGAGAGTTATCAAAAGTCTTTTTCATGAAACCAGTGTTGTGAGATGTCATTAATGCTTGCTACCACTCCAGTGGGCTCCGGTCTGCACTTCCCTGGGCCTTCCATGTGGGTACCTGTCAGTGGGGAGAACTGTCATTTAAGTTAGAGTTACCTTCCCAGAGCTTTGTCCTTGACATGTCCCTGGCTTATTGAAAAGTATATAATCCCTAAATGTCAACTTAATATCTGTAGTGAGTTATTTCCTATGTGGTTTAAAAATCAGATCACTTAAGTATACTTTATCTCAGAATCATTTATTAAGTACAGTCACCTCTAGTTCAGGAGATTTGGTTCCACATGTTGTCGGGATTCATTGTACTGTGACGGAAGGTTCCCAGGAACCTGAAGCTGTGGGTTCAGATGCTGGCCGAGATACCCTCTAATGTATGCCTTTGGGCAAGTTACTAGATATGCTAACTGGGGTTTCCACATCTGTAAAATAAGCCATTGAAGCTGTTCCAGAGCAGTGTGAGGGTACAGGGCCCTGGCCCCAGCATCGTGTTAAAGGAATAGCGCCACGTGAACGCACGGTAGCTGCTCTTCTCGAGGCTTTGTCCTTTAATAGTTTGTGCTTAGAGTAAAAAACGGCTATAAAAAACCTCTGATGCTAAAAAAGACTGCAACACCATTTAGCCTGACTCGTTATTGACAGAAACCATCCTTAGTTGCCTAACCCCTAGTCATTCAATGGTCTACTCTTTGTCCTTTGGTCGCAATTTTGTACTTTCTGATTTCTTGATAATAGCTTCTTAGAGGGCATCTTTTTTTTTTTTTGTACCAACACTAGAAATGAATTTCTTCATGGAAATACTCAGAAATTTAAAATTCATTTCATCTATCAGGGAGTTGACATTTTATTAATTTTGAGATAGTTCCTGGTTTTTCAGGGAATTTTCTAGGCTGCCCCATTTTGGCCTCAGATCAAGGCACCGAGGAATAGATAGACATGCACTAAATCGTCACTTGTGATTTGACTTCCAACCAATCTAGAATGTGCTGGTCTGCAAAGACAGAATTCCTGGTACTTAGTGATTTCTACCAAAGACAAACAAGTAGAGAGCTTTGTCCTCATATCACTAGTAAATAGCAGTTTGGTTTTATTTTGGTTTTAAAGATCTTAAGATTTAGTTTGCTGTGCGTTGATTGAAAAGTCTTTGCATTCGAAGAAGAACGAGGATGAAGAGGACAATTTGCACACACACATACCCCCGCCGCTCCCCCAGAACTAGGTGGTGACAGGCTTTCCCCTCTTTGCCCCAGACCCTCGCAACACACACACACACACTCACTCCCTCCCTCCCTTCCTCCCTCCCTCTCACTCCCTCTCTGCCTCTCTGCCTCTCTGCTAGCTGTGGCCACAATGCTCTGCTCCTGCCTGTCCTTGTCCCTGAGGCAGGTCCTAGGGCCAGACTGCCCCTGCAGTGACTCTCACTTTTTTGTCCCGTTCCAGCTTTAACCGGATTGACATTCCGCCTTATGAGTCTTATGAGAAGCTCTACGAGAAGTTGCTGACAGCAGTGGAGGAGACCTGTGGGTTTGCTGTGGAATGAAGAACAACCAAAGGCAACAGATTCTAGCTCATGACCGCCAGACCAAAAGCATACCGCTTTCTGCGCGCCTCCTGCGAAGCGGGCTGAGGCACTGGAATTCTAGATAACCTGAGGGAAAGGCTTGTCTCCCCACTCCTTTTCGTTGGGGGAGCGAGGGGGGCGGGGGGACTTTGGTTGGTGGCTCCCATCCATATCTTCCTCCCTTACGACAGTACTCCCACCCCCTTCCATCACCCATCCAATAAAACGCGCGGCCAGGTTTAGATTTGGCTTCGGTCACACAGGATGTGCTGCCCCAGTTGTAACACACACAGGGTAGGCTGGCTGCCCTGTGCTCCTTACAGGAGTGTTGACCTGCGGTTCTGGAACCGAGCTTGGCTCACCGAGGGTTTGTAACTGGTAGCTATTCCATCTCAAAACAGTCCTTAGGCCCCTTTTCAAGTTCAGCTGAAATTCCAAATCTCGCATCCTAGCAGCCTGCTCTGGGTAGCAGATTAATTTCTACCTGAAAAATAACTGTATAATATATGCTCATTGGAATTCTACCACAGTAGGAAGCTTGAGTCCAAAATGTGCTTCCCTTTTTGAAAGGGAAAGGAATTGGGGCAGAGTCAGCTGGAGGCCCAGGGATTTCCTTTCAAGGTATCCTGGTTGAAAATTCTGTTTTGCATAGAGAAAAGTGATCTTTCCTTTTAAACAGTCCCTTTTGTCGCATTACCTGTCCAGTTCGAAGTATTTTTCCAGTGAAAAAAACACATATGAAAGGACCCAAACCAGCCTCAGCTCCCAAGCTGTGGCTCCTGTACCACCTGTGTGTAGCAGGGTGTCAGCTTGGTCACTTGAATACTAACAATTATGCAGAAATCGCTAAGAGCTTAACTAAGACAACAAAATTCGGTTGTTATAGCTGCTGGCTTGGTGCAAACTAGCGTCAAAGGGAGAGAGGGAACCGAAAATCACCCCACGTTACTGTTTTACGAAAAGTGGGGTGTGGGTGTAAACCTGACAGCAGAGGGGGATGATTCCACCCTGACTCATTGGGCCCATTTCTCCAGCGTCAGATGGTGACATTGACAGTTGCTACTCGATTGTTTGCTCAGATGTCTTCGTATGATGAGCAAGGCCAAAGCAAGCCTCGACCGTTTCTAGCACCGTTTTCCAATTTGCACAAAAGTTCAAACAGTATTTCAACAGATCTGCTTGATTTTGGATAGCTAAACGTCAGTGAAAAATGGCAGCCAGCAGCACATTTTCCTGCCTGGTTTTTTTTGTTGTGTTTGGGGGCAAGCACAGGGTAATTCATTAGCAAGGCATTTCACTGTTGAAATTTCATTCTTGAAGCTTCCGAGTTAAGCGTTGGGGTCTGGCTGTGGGTCTGGCTGTGGGTCTGAGATAAGTTTCAGCGGAGCTTTTGGTGACTGTCTCGCTGTTGTTTTCGTTACTAACACTCGTAGACTGGTGGGTGTGGAGGCGCACTCACCATGACTTCTGCGTCCTGCTGTGCATCCTTGGCTGCCCCAGAAGCAGTCTGTAGGTTGACTTGGGGGATGGGAGGGTGGGGCGGGGGATCGACCTCTTAGGAGACAGGCCTCCCCCTGCACAGAGGTTTGTTTGCCCAGTTTGGAAAGCCCCATATTGGGTCCCAGGAGGTGTGAGAGAGCCGGGCTTCTAGATAGAAGGGACATCAGGCGGTGTTTGCCGAAGGGCAACTCAGTCCATCCACAAAGTCCAGGTGGGATTGTGGGCTGAATCTTTCAGGAGTTCTGCTTTGCTTTAGCCAGGCTTATCCTGCGTGTCATTTACCATGACACCTTCTGAGGGCATTCTAGAAGCTCCTCCCCGATGATTCCATTCGGTTCTCCCTCGTAATCTTCCTCTGGAAGAGCGAAGAAATGAAAAGTACAGACCTCCCACCAGACAGGTGTCATCTCTCACATAAACCTAAACCACGGGAGGAGGAGGAGACAGCCATCAGAGGACTAAACGTGAGAAGGTGGCACTCGCTCCTTCCGGGGGCGGCAGTGGTGGCAAAGAGGAAACGAGGGTCTCCTGGTTGGAGACTTGGGAGCAGAAATGCTGCATTTGACTCCTTTCTCACTCCATGCCCACTGTCAAGAGGAGCGGGGACGACCCTCAGAATCTGCATTTGCCAGTCCCATGCTGCTCTCGCATGTCAGGTGTCACCTCAGCAGGATCCTGAGGGTCATGTCCTGGCTCCTCGGGACACGCGAGTTACCTGAGCATAAGGCTTGGTCTCTGCTTTTTCGCCCCATGTGGCGCCCTGGACAGCGGTGTTATCAAGGAGCCCAAAAGGGCGGGGCTCTTAGGAGCTCCGAGTCACTCACACGAAGCAGGCCTTCCTCAGCACTTTTAGAAGCTTAAATGTCACCAGTGGTTTAGGCCTTTTAATCCCCCCAAAGAACAGTGTAGCAAGTACTTGGTAAAAGCTCCCCATTACTGCACTCTGGGCCTGCAGGGACCCCGTTCACACGTGTGCTCTCATTTGTCACCCTTCTAGGTAATCCCATACAGCCACCCCTGTCCCCTCGCCTCTTTGCCCAGATGCTTCAGGGGCGTGACTTTCAGGCTTGCCTCACCAGCGGTCAGCAGCTGACCCTCAGGGATGTAGCAAACCACCACTCTGCCAGCGATTTAGATAGGAAAAGTGAGGGGGCTGCTGGGGGGACAGTAACTCAAGCTCTCCTGACTTCTGAAGGGAGACTCTGCCCCCTGATGGAAGTGCCCCTCAGCCTAATGGTCCAAGTTCAGGGTGGGTGGGCCTGGGATCTGCGCTGTGAGGAAGGGCCTCTGCGGAGAAAACGCCCCGCCCACCCCCATCTGCAGCCAGGTGCGTGCCGCTCGGCAGCCTTCCCAAAACATAGTATGAATTTTTAAAATTTGTTTATTTTTGTTTCTCAACCACTTTATAATGTATTTTTTAATTTATTTTGTAATGTCTTGTTTTTAAGTATTGCTGCTATCCTTGTTATTCTTCCCACTGTTTTTATTGCTGATTTATTTTGTGAAAGTTGTACACTAATGTTCTGTTTTATGTCAAAATCAAAAGTATTTAAAGAAATACTAGTTCTATTTAACGTGGTTATGGAACCAGCTGGAAACACAAAACTGATTGTACAGCAGGCTGGACCCGGGAGGTCAGGTTCATTTTGTTACATATGCAATAAACTCACAACTTTACATTTTTGGCATCTGTTATTTTGGTGTGGAAATGAGATTCCAATTTCTTTACAGTACCACAAGAAAGGAAGTCAGTGGTCAGACATACTGGCCTTCTATGGAAAAAGGACAAACTTAAGGATAAAATGGTAGATATAACTAACAAAAATGGCAGTCAGTTGTAAGTGCTCTGTCAAGCAAAAACTTGTGGGATTAAGAACGTTGCTAGTCTGTTGACTTCTTCATTCACTGGTCATATTTTGGTTTTCATTTTTTTTAATATATTTTTAATGTAAAATGTATATAACATAATATTTATCAATTTAACCATTGATTATTGTACAATACAGTAGCATGAAATACATTTCACAGTGTTGCGTAACCATCACCACTCCTGTATACCTAAAACCTGTTTATCTTCCCAAACTGAAACTCTCTCGTTAACCAATAACTCTTCACCTGTCCCCCCAGCCCCTGGCAACCACTATTCTACTTTCTGTCTTTATGAATTTGCTTATTCTAGGTATCACACAGAGGTGGAATCATACAATATTTGTCCTATATCTGACTTACTTCCCTTCCCATAACATTTTCAAGGTCAATCCATGTTAGAGCATATATCGAAATTTCATTCTTTTATAGCTGAATAATACTGCATTGTTAAGAACATTTTGTTTTTCCATTCATTTGGTGGACACTTGGTGTTACGGTTAAATTTTTTTAAATTTATTTTTATTTTATTTTTTCATGGTGACATTGGTTAACGAAATCCAGTAAGTTTCAGCTGTACACTTTAACAGTACGGCATATATATATTTACACTGTGTTCACCTTCCACAGTTAGATTTCTTTCTGTCACCACATATTTGATCCCCTATACCCCGTCTACCTCCCTCCCACTCCCTACCCCTCTGGTAACCACTAGTCCATTGTCCATAAGTCTCTGCTTGTTCTGTTCATTTGTTGCTTTTAGGTTTATATCCCACATATAAGTGATATCATGTGATTTTCAACTTTTTCTGTCTGTCTTATTTCACTTACCATGATTATCTTGAGGTCCATCCACGTTGTCGCAAATGACAGTATTTCATCTCTTCTAATGGCTGAGTGATATTCCATTGTATATATGTATCATAGCTTCTTTAGCCAATTACCTGTTGTAGGGCACTTCAGTTGCTTCCATGTTCTAGCC